CCCCCCCAAACTCACTGAGCCCGGCCGCCAGCGCCTGCTCGTTAGCCCACATGGCCCACTCGATCTGCCCCATGGCTCGGCCCGAGTCCGTTCGGCTCGCCTCGGCCCGGCCCGGCCCGATTCGGCCCGACCCGGAAGGCGGATGCGATGCTACGACGTAACCAGGCGCTAGCCCCGCCCCGCTTCGCCCTCGGCCACGCCCCCTCCACCTCCTAAACCACGCCCCGATTCCACAGGCCACGCCCCCGCGGGGACCCGCTCCAGCCGCGAAGGGACACAGCACCGGGGCTATACGGGGGCCGTGCGGGGGACAGGACCACCCCCACGAGGGACACGAGGGGACAGGGGACATGTCGGGATGACGAGGGGACTGTGGGGGGACAGGATCAGCCACGTAAGGGACATGATGGGGGGGGACAGGGGCCATGTGGGGTGACAAGGGGGTCGCAGGGGGACAGGATCAGCCCCACAAGGGACACGGGGGGGAGAGGATCAGTCCCAGAAGGGCCAGGCACAGCCGTGAGTAGGAACCCCCCCATCTCCCACCGCCCACCCCGCAGCCGGCGATGTGCGTCCCCCTCCAAAGAGCCCACAGAGCCCGTACACCCCAAAACAGCGCTGCAGCCAGAAAAACTCTTATTTCCTTACAAAAGAGTAAAAACCAGCCCCAGGAGTCACGTCCCACCCCGGGGCTGGGGACGGCTTTGCACTGGGTCGGACTCAGCACCCTGAGCCCCCCCGTCCCAGTGCATCACGGCCGTCACCAGCGGTGTCACCGGCGCTGTCACCGGGGCTCAGGCACGGCGGCGGGGCAGCCCGTCTGCTCCCAGGAGGTGCTGGCTGGGGTCATCCACAAGCTGGGGGCCGGGGCCAGGCTGTGGGGCAAAAGATGGGTTAGGGGCAGCGGGGGCCAGATCCTGGCACCGGGGAGCCCCGCTGCCTGCAGGGACCCCCCCCCACTTCGGGGCTGTGGGGTAGTTCCGGGCCCCACGGACCCCAAAAAGCCACCCCCTTAGTCACGCCAGTGGGAACGTGTCTAGGGACGGGGTCCTGCGCACCCCTGGGGACAGGGATGGGGTCCCACCCCCCCCCGCATAGGCCAGGCAGACAGGTCCCCCTGCCCCACACTTACCCCCCCCCCAGCCCTGTACCTTGGTGTGTAGGATGTACCGGACAGCCCCCGGCACCGGCTCCGTCACCACGGCCGCGAGCAGCTCCTCCGGCAGCGAGGCCGAGCCGACCGGCAGTCCCCGCACGAACCTGCGGCACGGCAGAGTGCTCAGTCCTGAGCCCCCCCGCCATCCTGCTCCGTCCCCCCCAGTAAGAGATGGGATTGGCCTTACTGGTCCCCGTTGGCGGCTGGGGGGAAGCTGCGTCTCACCACCTCCACGAACTCGGCCACGGTGTCGGCCAGCGTGAAGATGACGGCGTTGGGGCCGGCGTCAAAGGTGTAGGCTACCTGCGGCGGGATGAGGAGGGGGACACGGTGACGGACCGCGGCGCCACAGCAAACCAGAAGCCCCGCGGGGCCGGCACGGCCAGCCGGTACCTTGGTGCGTCCGTGGTGGGCGTTGAAGCGGTGTGCCAGGGCGATGATGTGCCGCGAAAGGTCGTTGAGGTAGAAGATGGGGGGGAAGGTGTCGAGGCAGGTGGCGTGGAACTGGTTGCTGTCCCGCATGGCGAGCTGCCCGAAGCCCTCGAAGTCCCGCTCACGGATGTGCCGCATCATCAGGGCCAGGCGTTCCGGCACCACTGCCTCTGCCCGGTGCTGCCGTGGCAGGTGGGTCACGGTCACCCCAATTCGGCGACACCCACCTTTGGGCTTCGCTCAGGTGGTACCACAGGAGCAACCTCCCCCCCCACCATGCCCTCCAGCGCAGAGAAATGCCCCCCTCCGAGGGAAACGGGACCCCAAACCCTGCCTGCAGGCAGGAGGCAGGCAGCTTCCCTGGGGCAGGATCAGGCCCGTTGCCCCATACCTTCAGCAAGGGGCTGGTGTCCACGCTGGTCTGCATCCCCGCCGTGCTGCCCACCTGCTTCTTCTCCCCACTGACCTGGGGGGGGACGACACAGACAGCGGGACGTGAACCCCCCTGAGCCCCCAGACCCACCAAGGGGGATCCCCTGAGCCCCGGGGTCTGCACCCACACGGGGTTGGGGTGCTCCCATCACTCTCCCCCCCTCAAATCCCACCCAGCCAGGGGGGTGGTGGGTACAGCCGTGCCCCCTCCCACGCTCCGCCAGTCCCTCACCACCAGGACGAGGACCCTGAGCTCCGGCCAGTGCGTCTCGGGGGCCACTTGGTGGGCGAGGCTGTCCCTGCCGTCCGGCCGCTCGCCCCGCTGCCACTGCACGAAGCCCCCCAACATGCTGCGGCAGGCGCTGCCCGAGCCGCGCCGCGCCACCTCCGACAGCTCGCCCTCCACGCCGTACAGCCGCGCCAGCGCCGACACTGCGGGGAGGGGATGGGGTCAGCGGGGAGGAAACATCCCTGCCACCCCGCTCCCGGTCCCCAAGTCCCCGCTCACCCACCCAGGCAGGCGTAGCCGGCGGCGGAGGATGCCAAGCCGGCGGCGGTGGGGAAGTTGTTCTCGGTGGCGACGTGGATTTTGTAGGAGAGGCTGAGCGGGGCTGCATCCTCGTCGCTGCCGCCCCGGCGCTTACGGGCCAGGCGCCGCACTGCGAGGGGACGAGAGCCAGGCGAGGGGGGGGTCGGTATGGGGGACACCCTGCCCGGCTCCCTGGGATGACCGGGGTGGGGGGACACTCACCCTCCCGCAGGCAGGCCTGCAGCCGGGGGTGCCCCACGTCGGCCTCCTCCCCGTTCAGCCACAGCCGGTCCTCTGCAAAGTCCCGGCTGGCGGCGGCCGTGGTGGTGGTCTTCAGCTGCCGGGGAGAGGGAGGGGGTGAGCGCAGCGGGTGGGTGGGGGGCTCAGCAGCCCCCCGCGCACAGGGTGGGGGGGACAAAGGGGCTCGACCCTGACCCGGACCCCACACCAACCTGGTCCTGGTGCAGCGTCACGCTCAGGGAGGAGTTGATGGGCAGGATCAGGTCATTGTCCCGCTTGCCCCCTGCAAGAGATGGCACGGCATGGCGCGGCGTGGCACGGCGCGGCTCAGCATCAGCGTGTCATGGGTTGGCTCAGCACGGCACGGCACGGCTCGGCACGGCACAGCTTGTCATGGGTTGGCTTGGCACACTGCACCGTGGCATGGCATGGCACGGCATGGCATGGCGTGGCACGGCATGACACGGCGTGGCATGGCACGGCACGGCATGGCATGGCATGGCACGGCCCGTCACGGCATTTTTGCTCACTCCCACCCCCGGGTAGGTGCCAAACCCGTCCCCGTCCCCGCCACCGGCCCGCCCCGCACCCGGGGGGGGGCTGTCGGCTGTCTCCGTCCCGCCTGGTTCCCCCCCTCCCAGGACCGAGGAGGGGTCCCGGCCGCAGGGACAGGCTCCAGCCGCCCGTACTCACAGTACTTGATGACGGCGATGTTGACAGGGGCCGTGCAGGTGACCATGGCGAGACCCCGCTCCTCCGCCATCTCGTCGCCGTCGCCGCCGCCGCCGCTCCCGGCAAAGGTGCGGGCGGCCTCAAGCCCCGCCCCCCGCACCACCCAGGTGACCGTCGCCCGTGGCGGATTCCCGCCCTGCTATTGGTCGGCGCCGTAGCGCCCGGCTCCCGACGCCCAATGGCAGCGATCGGACCACGGAGCGGCCCCACACCTCCCCGCCCCCTTGCTGGCACGGGCATGCGGGGGGCGCCATCTTGGAGTCGGGAAGGATCTTGCGCATGCGCCGTTGGGGACGGGCGGGGGCGGGGCCGAGCCGGGGCTGCCAGTGCCCCACCAGTGCTCCCAGTGCTCCCCAACCAACACCCCTCTGCCCCCAACACCCCAGTGCTCCGGTGTTACCCCAGTGCTCCCCGTGCCCTCAGTACCCCCAGTGCAACACTTCTCCCAGTTACCCCAGCGCTGCCCCAGTGGTCCCAAACCCCCTGTATCCCCCCCACCCCAGTGCTCCCAATATCCCCGGGACTCCCCCAGTGCTCCCAGAGCCTTCAGCCCCCCCATTACCCCAGTGCCTCCAGTGCTCCCAGTGCTTTTGCCAGCAGCCAGTGCTCCCAGCATGCCCAGTACCCCAATATCCCAGTGCCCCTCCAGTGCTCCCAGTGCCCTTGGCATCCCTTTGGTGCTCCCAGTCACCTTGCAGTGCTCACAGTGATCCCAGCAGCCCCAGACCCTCCAGTGGTCCCAGCTCCCCCTCCCACTACTCCCAGTTCCCCCCTCCCAGTGCTCCCAGTGTCCCCAGCACACCAGAGGCTGGAAGCCACCCACACAACCCCCGCCCTGAGTGGCCCCATCCCACCCCCACAGGCAACCCCAGCCAGGCCCTGCCATATGTGTGTGTCCCCCCCCCAGGGGGGGTATTTTTATCCCGTGGTCGCTCACTTGCAGTGGAAAATATCCCACAAATCCGGGTGGCGGGGGGGCACACGCCAGGCACGTGGGTGACACCGCAGTGCTGGTGGGCACAGCCCCGCTCCCACGGGGTCACCGCCGGTGGGGGGGTGCAGATCCCATCCCACCCTGAATAAATACCCAAGGGGATGAGGGGAGCAGCAGCATCCCCCCCTGCCACCACCACCCCTCACCAGAGCGGGGACCTTTGGGGACCCCCTCGGTGGCGGGGTGGGGGGTCCCTGGCTGTGCCCCCCCCAGGGTATTTATAAGCATTTTCCATGGGCGGGAGGGGAGGGGCCGGCACGCGGCTATTTTGGGGTGTGGGATTCTTTCCCCCCGCCGCCGGCACAGGTGCGGGGCCCGATTTAGCCGGGCAGAGCTGCAAATAGCATGGGGGGCACGCGGCGGCTTCCTCCGGCACCCACCCAAATCGTCCGTCCCTGTCCACCCCCCGCCATGCACCCAGCGCCTAGGGTGACACCGGCAGGGATGGGGCTGTCCCCACCACCACGGGGCCGTGGGGAGGGCGACGGGATCCCCACGGCAAGGACGGTCACCCTGAGTCTCACTGCGCCGGGGGGACGTCAAGGGTCACTGGTGGGGTGTCCTTGTCCCCATCGTCTCTGCCGTCCCAGTCCTGGCCAGGCTAGATCCCGGTACGGCACTGGGGCCATGCAGCCCTGAGTCCCAAAAGGCCACCGGGTCTCTTTTTTGGGGCACGAGGCTGGCCAGGACCCCTGCTCCATCCCTCAGCCGTGCTGTCCCCAGGGAAGGAGCTGCGGGGATGCAGGAGAGGGAGGAGGATGCTCTACACAACACACAGAGGGGGTGGCAGCCGGACTCCGGCCAGATCCTGCGCCAGGGCTGGTGGGACACGATGCTGGCTGAGCAGGGACAGCCCCGGCAGCGCTAAAGGACACTTTCTTCGCTGACGCGTGCGGTGCTCAGCTCCGCTTTTAATGCCTCTTGCGATGTAAGGGGTAAGAATCCTCCCCAGTGCCCAAAAGCAGTGGGGGAACGGGCCAGGCACCGTGTCCCCCAGAACCACCGGGGAGCAGCCGCGGGGCTTCGGTGACCCACTGCCAAAGTCCAGGCAGTCCCGTCCAATGCTCTCGTGTCCCTTCTTGGGGTGTTGCACCGGCACGGCATGGCACGGCACAGCACCGCATGGCGCGGTACGACGCGGTGCAGCACGGCACAGCACGCTGCAACATGGCACAGCACGGCGCAGCGCGGGGCTCGCTGCCCTCTCCGGGGCGGCTGTGCGTGGTGGGGGGGCTCAGGACGTACCGCAACACCCCCCGTCCTCGTGCCGGGCCAGCAGCGACATGCGGGAGAAGGTCCTGGCGCAGGCACGGCACCGGTACTTCTTGACGTCCGAGTGGGTCTGGAGGTGGGCGCGGAGGTTGGAGCGGTCGGCGAAAGCCCGGCTGCAGTGGGGGCAGGCGTAGGGCTTCTCCCCTGCGGGACACGTGTCAGGGGCACCCCCGTACCCAAGGTCGCCCCGACCCCCCCATCCCTTCCTGCATCGCTCTCATCACCTTTCCCTGTGCCTCCCCCAGGTGCTTCCCAGGAATCCCCCAAACCCATCGGTGCCCTCCCGGTGGGCAATGTTAGAGCGGGACCTGCCAGGGGTGTCTCCCACGGGACTCACAGTGCATGCTGCCACGCCAGGCCCCCCCCCAGCACCAGGATCCCCGGCCATACCCACCCCAGGCAGGTCCCTCCTAGAGACCAAGCCATGCCGAACCCTGACGGATGGCGATTTTGCACCCATCAACCCCAAAAAGCAGAGGTGCCGGCAGGACCAGCAGCAGCCGGTGTGGGGGTCCCATCCTTACCTGTGTGGGTGCGGATGTGGCCCTGGAGCAGCCAGGGCCGGGAGAAGGCTTTGCCGCAGAGGCGGCATTGGCAGGGCAAGGTGTGGGTTCGGATGTGCATCTTCAGGGCGCCCAAGCTGGCGTACGCCCGGGCGCAGTGCCGGCAGCTGAAGCTTCGCCGGTGCGGCCCCCGCCGCAGGGGCAGGTTGAGGGTCTGGATGTCCTTCAAGGGGGTGCCCGGGCTGTGGGTGCCCATCGGGATGGGGGAAGCCTTGGTATCGGGGGGCAGCAGGAGGGGGAAGCGGGAGAGAAGGCGGCCACGGTCCTGCAGGCAGGGAGGAGCGGGGGGCGCGGGGGGCTGGCGGTGGCCGGGGGGGAGCAGCCCCCCGCAGTCGCACAAGCCGTCGAGCTCTGCGGGAATGGGGAGGGGGTTAAGGGATGAGGGATGGCAGCCAGGCTGCCCACCCGGTCCCCGGAGGTCCCCCTGGGGGGTCACACACTCGGCAGGGATTCATCTGCACCAGGTCACCCCACTGCTCCCACCCTGGGGCACAGCAGAACCGAGGTGCCCACCGCAAAACAGAGCAAAACCAGTCCTTTCACCCCAAAAGGGGAGTCACAGACACCCCCGGTGCCTGCTGGAGCCCAGCTTGTGCCTGGGTGCCAGCTCGCCTGGGGCTGGACGCACCCCAAAATCTGGGCATCCCCTGGTGCAGCATGGCTGGGGCGGGCAGGTACCACTCTGGCAAGCACCCACTGACTTGCTCCCGTCCCCCCCCCCGCCTCCCAGCAGCACAGGGATCCCCATATGGGTGGGGAGGATGGGGGTATGTTGGAGGGGGGGGTCCCACATGCCTAGCCTTGGGAAGCCCCCAGATGACCCCAATTCTCCCCCACCTTCCCCTACCCCCCAAAACCAGTATCTCTGCCCAGCTGGCCGAGCCACCCAGGATGGGGCTGACAGCGTGGGGGCACGGAGCCAGGGAAGTCCCCCGGCATCTCGGCACAGGGCATCACCCCAAGCTCAGCCGGGGATCCCGTGCCCACCGCCAGGGTGGCAGCAGGAACTGAGGGTCCCAGGGGGGGTCCCGGGATCCCCCGGCGCAGGTAGAACCATGCAGCCTTACCGCGAGCGCCGGTGTCGAGCTGGCTGTAGTTGGGGATGCGGGTGCTGGAAGGTTTCTTCACCAGGAAGGAGCGGGGCATGGCCGGACAGGCAGGGTTGTGTCCCCGTGCTGTGTCCCCACACCGTGTCCCCGTGCTGTGTCCCCACACCGTGTCCCCGTGTCGTGTCCCGACGGGTAACAGCAGATAAGGCCCTGGGACTCATTAGCATGGGCAGCCCCTGGGGAGCCCCCGGGCCAACCGCTGCCCGAGGGCTGGCCTTGGCTGCCAGCAGCACAAGGGACGGCATTGGGGACAGCCCTGTCCCCCGGCACTGTCACCCCACTTGCCCCGCAGACGGGGCTCCCACTGCCCACGGCATCCCCCTGCCCAGGCTGGCTCACACCCGGCATAACACCCACCCTCCCAACACCCGGCTGGGGTAGGACGGAGCAGGCACCCGGGCTCACGGGGACCCCCGACACCCCTTCTCCCCGCAGGGACGGGTAGCCCCACATGCCCGTCCCCTCCACCGTGGTGCCGTCCTGGCCCCAGAAAGGCTCACAGGGGTTGTTTGGGGAGGACCGGGGAGCAGACAAGGCAGTTCCTCAACCTGATCAGCTCCAGCCATTGTAGCCCCAAGACTTTTTCAGTGCCCCCGGGGACAGGAACCATGCTCTGGCCAGCGCCAGGACAAGAGTGAACCCCTGTACCCCTCCAAGGGGACACCAGTGGCTGGTCCCAGGATTGGTCCCCCAGGGAGGGGGACGCAAGTTCAGCCCGTGCCCAGGCTGGAGGGATTGGCTGCACAGCGCCAGCCCGTGTCCCTGGGGAACCCCGATAGCCCCGTGGGGGCTCAGAGCCAGGACACCTCCCAGGGACATCCGCAGAAGGCCAGCGAGGCTTTGGGGACAGCGCACGGTGCCAAGTGTCCTCCCCCGTGTCCTCCCTCCAAGCACCAAGACCCGGCTGCCAAGGAGGGGGCATGGCTGTCAGCAGCAATGCACACAGCTGGGGGGTGCCAGGAGGGGTGCGGGGGGGATCCCCGATGCCCCCAGCAGCAACATCAGCCCCCAGCAGGTTTGGCAACAGCCGGCACTGGGAGAGCGGGTTGTGAAGTGCTTGGTCAGAGGGAGATAAGGGCTGGGGGAGCGTGGTGGGGGGAGCCTAGGGCAGGGGTGATGAAATGGCATTGCCAAACCTTCTGCGGCGGCACCGCTGCCATTAACGGGAGGAGTTGACGAATCGGGGACAAAGCCGTAAAGACGAGCTCTGCGTTTGGGGAAGGAGCAGCCCACATAAGCCAGGGTGGGGGGCACCCACCCCCAGCCACATCCCGCACCCCAGAGCCACAGCAGAGACCACACAGGGAGGCCACCTGTGGATGAAACTGCCTTTATTGAGAAAAATGGTTTGCTACAAATACGCCATTGATTTTATTCTTCTTCAAAAAACAGTACGTCTCGTTAAAAGTTCTAGTTATGCAAAAAGTCGCAGGTAACACACTAACGAGCACGGCCGGTGGCACGGCGGGAGCCCCGGCACAGCCCAGCTGGCGGCAGGCAGAGCCAGACCTGACCCTGCACAAAGTGGGGAGAGGCAGGAGCTGCCTGTGCAGTGCAGCGCCTGCCTGCACCCTCGCAGCCTGGGCCCTTAAAGTGCTTTACAAAAGCAGCCGTTGCTGCCCCTGCTCTGGTGTCGCAGGGCAAAAAGGAGCAGGAGGAGGAGGAAGGAGACAGAGAGGTTAATAGAGCTGCCCCCGAGGCAGGGAGCTCCCTGCAACTGAGAGCTCTGATGGAGGCTGCTCTGGGACCTGAGGGTCCCAGCCGAGGATGGGACAGGGAAACCCTCCTGGGTCCCTTTTGGGAGATGCAAGTGCTCTCCATCCCACCAGGGATGGCCCCCAGGCCGGGCAGGTGCCAGCAATGCCGTGCTGGTAAGAGAAGACCCCGTCCCTCCTCACTAGCAGGCTTGAGGGAGGGGAGCGGAGCAGCTCCAGCCCTTTCCCTGCCCTCTGCCAGGGGAGCAGATGGTCTCTGCATGCTCCTGGTAGGGCTGCCGGTGGCACAGGGGAGCTCACACCCTCCCAAAAACACCCAGTACTATTTAAATCAAAAGTAAAAAACAAGACGGTATTGCTAGAGCAGAGCTGGAGCTGGAGCCAGGTCTCGGATAAACCACGAAAGGGCACTTCTCCAAGCAGGGACATGCAGAGGGATTGCTCTCCCACACCTCTTTCTCTGCAAACCCCTGCGGGAACGCAGCATGGCTGGTGCTGTGGGATTAGTGCTGAACTAGCAGGTCTGCAGAGATCACACATCACTGCGTCCCCGCGGTTCCTCCACCGAGAGCCTTGGGCTGATCTCGTTGCTGGTGTGACCCCAAAGGGTGTCAGGGTCCCTGCAGGCAGCTCTGCACAGGGGGGGCCACGCTCAGGCTGGCAGCAGCCCATCCAAGGCCTGGCAGAGATCTCCCTGCCACCCTCTCCCAGCCCAGCGGAGCAGAGAGGAAGGGGACCAAGGGGGACACAGGTCACCGGGATGCCATGGAGCATCTCTCAGATCAACATCTGCCCAGGCGTGCCCTATACCCAGGGAGAGACCTCAGAGAGGGAAACGCAATCCCCTGTTTCAGGGGGACAAGATGCTCAGCGTTGGGGTCTTGCATGGGCAGATGTCCCTCCCACACACCCATCGCCCAGACACAACCCAGCTGCTCTGTACCGAGTGCCAGCGTGCCACAACTAACCTGCCTGTTCCCTCGCTGCCCGCTCGCAGAGACAAAACCATCACTCCAGATTACACCGTGCCTGCGGCCACATCCAGCACCGCCACAGAAGCTCTGCCTGCAAGGGTTAAGCCATCCAGAGCCTGAACACGCATCCTGGAGAGGGTTAGCGGCTCAGAGAGCACAGCTGGCCAAGCGGCTCTTGGAGAATGGAAGTGGTGCCACTGCTCCTCAAAAAGGCAGCCCAGCGAGCCGTTTGGCACCCATTCCTCCAGCTGACGAGGTGCTGCTCTGACCTGGCCTCTCCTGCATCACAACCCGCCTGCAGAGAAACACGACGACAAGGGAAGGGAACGGCCCCAAAACAACCAAAGAGGACACCCGCGATCTTCCCATGGCCCCCGCAGAGTCCCACCCGCCGGCCCAGGGTCCGGCTCCTGCTTCCTGCCTGGTTTCAAATCCACAGCATGTTCATTTGTTTGGGTTTTTTTTTTTTAAAAAATATACTTTCTTAATAATGTTCCATAAAAATACTCTTGTCCCCGATGACGGATATTGCAGTGTGAAGAGTAACAGCTTCTGTTCTCGCTCTATAAAACGTGGAAAAGGCATCACGCCAATTAATGTAGAAAAATGCAAGAACTCAGTATCACAAGAGCCGGTACAAAACGAGGAAGGTGAGAATTTCACTGAACGCCGGACACCGTCCCCATGGACTCCTCCGAACCCGCTGCCATCACAGGGCACACGAGGGCAACCATCTCGCCCTGGGATTCAGCCTGGCCTGGGCAGTAGCAGGCAAAGGAGGCAGCTCCTGCCTGCAGCATCGGGGACGGGACAGACCGACGTCTCTGGCAATAGCCTTGCAGAGTTTAAAAAAAGATGCTCCGTGCCGTTTTCTTCCTTTTCAAAAAGGATGTGGATGATGGCAGTTTCAAAGTAGGGCATTTCTGCATAAAATGCATCATAGTTTTACGTACCTATTCAGTTGCAACACAGAGCATGAAGACAAATGGTGCCAAAAAGCATCTAATAATAAATAGATCTGGATACAGGTATATACTCCGTATACGGATATGAAATGCCTAACCGAGGAACGATCCCAGCCCTTCGGCGTTGACTCCTCTCTCATCCCAGCAGCGGACGTCTCTGCTCACTCACCGGTTCAGTGCGATGCTAAAGAGACTCCACCTTCTTAAACAAGGTGGGATTTGCCCAGGGAAGAGAGGGAAGAGAGGTGGCAGCGAGTCTCCAGGTGTGCCGGGGGTTGACAAGCTCTGTGCCTCCCCAGCAGGAAGGCCGAGTGTGCAAAAGGAGACGGGGTGATGATGGGGGTCTGAACCGATGCTCCACAGTCACCCTCAGTTCTCAGAGAGTGACAGTGCCAGGGCAGCTTGCAATGCTGCCTCCTCATCGATGTTATAGTCCTAAAAAAAACCCCAAAAAACAAAAAGAGAGGGGCGGTCAGAAGAGTTAGCACGGCCAGGCCACACAGTCTCCATCAAGCAGTGGGGGCAGCCCGGGCAAGGAGCCCTTCCTGCTCCTTATTGTGCTACTGAGGTTGCGAGCCTCCATCTCCTCTGGCATACAGGTCGCAGGAACGTCGTGCTCTTTGGGATGTCCTTTGTGCCCACGGTCCCTCTCCTGCCTGGAATCTGCCAGTGTCAGCCCTGCTCTTAGACCCAGCAGTGGGCAGGGATGAAACATGCCCACGCAAGAAGCTGTGGCCAAAGCACAAAGCTTTCTAGCAAGATCACGGGCTTCTCCAGTGCTCCGGTTCGGGTTTAGGCAACACAGCGATCGCTCCCTAAGTGGGGATATTTCTCTGTAAATATTTGGAGGTTCCTTTCCCTGACACCTAACGGCCCTGCAATAAAAGCAGGATGCTAACAAAACCTCCCCTCAGTCCCAAGGCTGGGCGATCACACCCTAACCCCCACACAAGAGGGGTCAGCAACCCTCTGAGAGTGGGGCCATGGACACCCCCCACACGCAGCAGCCAGGACCCCCTCCAAGCCCTGAGGCTGGGCTGCTCCCCTCCCACTACTTTCGAAGCCTCAAAGAAAAGGGCTTTTGTGCTACAATTCCTCAGGGGAAGAGTTTAATGGAGCAGGCAGAGGAAACAACCCATCTTCACAGAGAGCAGTAATGTTTCCCTCTCCTACTTCAGAGACTTTTTCCTGGTGCATCTGATGATGACCAGCTCAAGCACACCCTGGGGCAGGCAGGGAGCCCAGCCCCACACCCATGGGGGTCTCCCGAATGGGGCTATGCATGCAGCACGTGCCTCCTGTAAAGCCCGAAGGAGGATCTGTCCCCTTCCCATCGTGAGGGGCTGCACAGCTGGACAGGCTGGTCCCGGCATGGGAAGGGGAGGGCTGGTTTCATCTCCCAGCTGCTCAGCAAGGGACATGGGGAAGATGATCCCATTTCGGCTCAGAGCTGTACTCACCACAAAGGTGTCATAGGAGAACTTGTGCCTGTGGAGGAGGTGCTGGAGGAAGTTGGCACTCTTGTAGCTGGGGTCCCCCCAGGGCATGGCTGAGCAGACTGGGCACACCTGCAGCAAGCAGGGACAACAGGGAGCCATAACTCACGGGAACAGACCCCTCTGCCTCTATCTCTCGGAGAGGTGAGTAGTGGTCCCCCCCCTTTTCTGACAGAGGGTGATATGCAGAGGATGTGCTAAATAAGGGGTCCCTCAACCGCCTGAGCAGATCCCGCGGTGCACAGAGCCTCTGGCATGTGGCCCAGGCTGCTTTCAGCTCACTGACAAATTACACCCGCACGTAAGCCGAGCTGCAAGTTCCCCACCCAGTCAACCCAGCAGGGATAGGGAGAGGAAATCCAGCACCATCCAGGTTGTAGGCACAGGAGGATGGAGGCAGCTTATTCCAGAAAGCCTCTAGCAAAGCAAACAGAGGCAGGTCCCCACCGCCCATCAAAGGCATTTAAAACAAACTAAATGAACTGGAAATACAGTTGTACTTCATGCACAGCAGCAGCTCTGCACACCAGTGGCCTCAGCTGCAGCATCAGCTACAGCGTATTTGGATTTCCAGGAGTTACCCCGCACAGAACCAGCCCATCCCAGCGCCCCAGCATCACTCACCACTTTGTTGGGGTCATTGCGGTGGTTCTCCATGCAGTGCTTCACCAGCTCCTGCTGGTCCAGGTTCCGGGCCCCGCAGTACGGGCACACGAACGTCGAGCGATTGGGAATATTGCTAAAGAGAGCAAGGACAAGCTCAGATCCCCCAAGAAGGGCTAGATTGACTCCTTCCGAGCAAACCCAGCCACCCCCTGCTCAGCTTTGTGATACTGACCCATAGAAGAAACCAGACCAGCCTGTTCCCACCCCAGCCATCGGCTGAACCACCCTGGTTTGGTCAGTCCTTCCTCTGGCACCACGATATGAAACACAGGGCAGCACAGGGGCTGCAGATGCCAGGAGGGAGAAGGTGCTGACCTTTCTTGCTGTGAATACCCAAGAGAAAGTAAAACACATGCTTGGATTTTAGGGCTTGCAATGAAGATGGAGGGGAACTTTGATGCAGTTTGCAAGGAGGGACAAGTTTCCCTACCCGACACGCGGCAGTACCTGGGAATAGGTTGGGACGTGGGGACAACTGGAACGAACTTGGGGCAGTTGGCCATCTGCTCCTGCACCTTCGCGCAGGATGAGACGTGAGAGCGCATTTTCGCAAGGGTCACCTGGAGAACAAGGAGAGAAGAAACGTTCCTGCAGGCTGAGACACCTTCCAGATGCAGCGCTGGAGCCTCTGCTACAGCTCAGGAGAGCAGTTTTGGTCCACCAACGTCAAAGCAAACACTGGTCTGTGCAGGATGACCCGCACCAGCGTGGAAATGCTGCACCAGCCCGTCCTTCCTTGCAGGACTGGGATTTGGGGTTGCATGCTCGCTGCATGTGTCCCCAGAGGTCACACACAAGCCACCCAGGCTGCATTATTGTAGCACTAGCTCCATTTTCCTCTGCAAAAGAAGAACTGCTGACAGGCAGAAACCCCAAATGGCTTTGACACCGTCCAGGATCGCTCCTGGGCCACAGCCAGGAAGTTACAAGAAGGATCCCCAAAGTTAACGGAAGCCAGAAAACACATCAGCGGAGACGCACCATGAATCACAGCTTTACAGCTGGTCCCAGAAGCGTCCCAGATCAGACTGCCCCAGGCTGGGCCAGGCCATGGTGCTGGTTCAGCTTCCCCATGGCTGTTGGGATCGTTGCACCTTAAGCGAGAGCTAAATCCTTACCCTCGTTAGGAGCAGCAGCACAGCTGGTTTGTCTCAGCCTCTCCCATGTTGTAGGAAAGACCTCAGCCTGCTTTTGAAGGTCCCCACTGTCTAATAATAGCTCTAGTCTGCTGACAAAGGCAGCTAAGAGAGAGTGCCTCCGTCTCTGCACCTGGCTCACAGCAGCAGCCGTGACACGCAGGGGACACCACACCTCGCAGGCGCAGTTTGGGGACCCACCGAACAGGGAACTCCATGAACCCAACCGTGGACAGCAAGCGACCTCCCTCCTCCAGCAGCACAGCTGCAGGATCAGCAGCGGGACGGGAACAGGCAGCCTTCCCCCACCAGCTTTACCTTCTTGCTGCAGCCTCTGCAGGGAGCCTTGTAGGACGAAAGCTGTTTCTCCACGCTGGAAGCCTTTTCCACCTTCTTGGGGTCGAAGGGCATGCGGCAGAGCGGGCAGAGCGGGGATGGCACTTGCAGGCAGGGTTGCAGGCACTCCCCACAAAACCTGGGGGCACAGAGAGCAGCGTCGAGTGGCCCAGCAGCGTCCTGGCCCAGGAGGAGGAGGAGGGCAGAGGGGTGAGCAAGACCCCAGCCCCAGGGCACACTCCTTCTCGGGGACTCCTGCACACCCCAGGCTGCAGGGCAGCCCCAAAACCCAGGGATCGGCATCTACACTGGGAGGAACCGGACAGAACCGGGAGCCTGGAAGAGGTCATGGGGAGGCCAGGCACAGCCCAAGCCCCGAAGGAGCTCCCTGGACATAAAGCTGGGGCACAGACAACGCCGCTGCTCTGAGACCCGCATCTGGGAGCGGATTTGAAAGGAGCCAAATAAAAACCGTTGCTGAGCATCCAGGCCGGACAGGAATAAAGCGAGCGAGCGCGTCAGAGTCACGGCTCACCTCCTTTCAAGGTCCCTTACGCCTGCAGGAACGCAGATGAGAAATCAAAGCAGCGGAGAGGAAGCGCAAGGGAGGCAGCCCCAGGCAGGAGGCAAAGCAGCTCGGTCCCCAAAAAGTCAATTGTCACAGGGGTCCCCATCCCCTCCGCCTGCCCACCCAGCTCACATCACCCAGAACGGCGTGAGGGGGAGGGGGGGAACGACACGTTGCTAAGCCTCTGCTGCTGCACGGGGGCAGGGGGGCAAAGTCATGGTGCTCCTTGCTCTGGCATGAAGTGCCCCCAGCTCCAAAAGAGCTGGGGGGGAGTGGAGGGGGACCAAGCAAAGCCACGGTCTCCACGGGAGACCAAGGTGTCCCAAAAACAGGCTGTGAAAGGGGGGACAAAGAGATGTCACCGAAATGCTGGGGTGATGAGTGGACCCCAGCTCCCTGCAGCAGCACCCACTGGTGGCCTCTTCCCGGGGGCCAGGGCACAGCACCCGTGGGTGGCCCAAATTGAGGGGGCGGGTTGGGTCAGGATTCCCACCTAGGTGAGACCCCCACCCAGCACCAGGGGAGATCCTAGGGGCAGAAACCAAGTCTGGGTGCTGAGAGAGAAGGGGGCTGGGGTCATGGGGAGGGGGCAAGGACCCCTGGGTGCACCCCACAGAGGGTCCGGGCTAGGGGGCAGAATAGGGGGGGGGTACCGGGACAGGGCAGGACCCAGCTCCCCGGGAAAGGGATTTGGGCTAGGGGGGCAAGGAGCCCGGTGGTGGTGGAGCAGCTGGGGGTGGGAGTGGGGGGTCCCGGGGCCGAGCAGCGGGACCCAGGTGTCAGTTGAAGGGTGGGCTGGAGGTCCCGGTACCGGCCGGGGTCACAGGGCAGAAGGCCCAGAGGGGGTCCCGGTGCAAGGAGAAGCGCCCAGCAAAAGCGATAGCTCCGACCCCGGAGGGGGAATTGGGACAGCCCGGGGATGGGGGGGGTCCCCTCCCCCGCCCCCGGGCCCCCCCCCAGCTCACGTGTGTCCGCAGCCCGCGATACCGACGGCTCGGTGAAAAACCTCCAGGCAGATGGGACAGCTGAACTGCGCTTCCAGCGCCTCGGCGGCAGGACCGGAGGAGGAGGAAGAGGAGGAGGAAGAAGACGAGGGGTGTGTGTGTGGAGGGGGCGGCCGGGGGGACCCACCCGGGGCCTGAGGCCGCTGCGCCGCCGCCACCAGCAGGTTCCGCAACATGGCGGCGGCGGCGG